AGAAATAACTGATACTAGCGCTCAGCCGGAGGCCCGTGCGTCTTAGCCAGGTGTCACAGGTGGCTTCTCCTGGCCCCCCGCGCTGCAGGTGTCCCTGTGGCCTGCTGTCTCCAGGCCGAGCCTTCATCCATCCCAGCTCAGGAGGGCCCTCCTGGACCAGGGAGCAGACCCTGGTCGCGGTGAAGCCAGATGGATCTGGCGCAGTGGCGGTTTATCGGGGGCGCTTTGAGGGGTGGCTTCAAGCTGGTGGGGATGAAGACGCTGCAGGCGCACCGCGTGTCCTTGCATCCTTGCAGGACACTACGAGCGCCTGGCGAGGAAGCCCTGCTACCCAAGGCCTGCGAAGGGTCCAGTGTGGTCCCTTGCCTGGAGTCTCAGGACCACGCGGTGGTTCCTGAGCAGGGACCTGGTGAGCTGGGTACAGTGCCAGCACAGCCGCAGCCACCCAGCCTGAGGCCCAGGTCGCCCTCCCAACTCCCTGGGTCAATAAGAACCCAGGCCCACACCCAGATTTGTCTCTCCCAAACAGCTTTCCTGCTCACCTCTGCCCTGCCCCAGCCCAGGAGAGTCTGAGCCACCAACTTTACTACCTGTAATCTCAGCTACACGGGAGGCTGAGGCAGGAGGATCCCTTGAGTCCTGGAGTTCAAGACCAGCTTGGGCAATGCAGCGAGACTAGACTCCATCTCTAAAATATGATTTTTTTTTTTTTTTGAGTTGGAATTTTGCTCTTGTTACCCAGGTTGGAGTGCAATGGCGTGATCTCGGCTGACTGCAATCTCCCCTGCCAGGGTTCAAGTGATTCTCCTGCATCAGCCTCCCAGGTATGTGGGAGTACAGGCATGCACCACAATGCCCGGCTAATTTTGTATTTTTAGTACAGACGGGGTATCTCCATCTTGGTCAGGCCAGTCTCGAACTCCCAACCTCAGGTGATCTGCCCTCCTCAGCCTCCCAGGTGCTGGGATTACAGGTGTTAGCCATCATGTCTGGCCTTTTTGTTTTTTTCCCCCCACAGGTGTGCACCACCACTCCTGGCTAATTTTTGTATTTTTAGTAGAGATGGGGTTTCACCATGTTGGCCAGGTTGGTCTTGAACTCCGACCTCAGGTGATCCTCCCACCTTGGCCTCCCAATAATTTCTTCATGTTGGCAAGAGTATTTGTGCCAACACATGGAGTAGAGAAGGGCTTTATTCTCAAGGAACTAGTAGGCCATGGGAAAATGCACCCTTTCCTACCTCTTCTCAGGTGGTAAGTCCTTAAATACCAAACCCTGTGTCCAGACACTGAGCTGCAGTTCACTGATGGCAGCTGAACAACTTGACAATGATTCCCTATTGCCTTTGCCTTGCTTTTATATTTTTGAAGCATTTTCACAGCCATTCCCTCTCTTGATCCTCACAAGAGTTTAATTAAGCAACTGTATCATATGCATGAGCAAAGGGAATTAGCAGAGGTGTGTGACTTGCCCAAGGATGCGTAGTGTCCAAGCCCGGGGGTTTGAGCCTCACACCGTCACCCTCTATCTCCTTCCATCATGGGCCAGGTCTGCCCAGGTGGGTCACAGAGAGCTGTGGGCCCCTGCTGTGGCTTGTTGACTAAGTGGGTGAAGCTGGGCACATGCACACATGGTGCCAAGTACCTGCACCCAAACACAGGAGGCAGCTCTATTGGTGACAGACTTAGGAAGTTGGTCTTTCTGGTAGAAGTTGTCCTGATGGAGACAGTTGATTGACTGAGGAAGGACCCATGGATGTGGCTTCAGTACCTCTCAGAACTTCAGTGCAAATTATTATTATTATTTTTTTTTTGAGATAGAGTCTTGCTCTTTACCTGGGCTCGAGTGCAGTGGCTTGATCTTGGCTCACTGCAACCTGTACTTCCTGGGTTCAAGCAGTTCTCCTGCCTCAGCCTCCCGAGTATTTGGGATTAGAGGTGCACGCTGCCACACCTGGCTAGTTTTTTTTCTATTTTGGTAGAGGCAGGGTTTCACTGTGTTGCCCAGGCTGGTCTTGAACTCCTGACCTCAGGTAACCCCACGTAATGCAAATTCTTTTTTATTTTTGAGATGGAGTTTCCCTTTATTGCCCAGGCTGGAGTGCAGTGGCACAATGTCGACTCACTGCCTCCTCCTCCTTCCGGGTTCAAACAATTCTCCTGCCTCAGCTTCTGGAGTAACTGGGATTACAGTTATATGTCACCACACTCAGCTAATTTTTTGTATTTTTAGTAGAGACAGGGTTTCACCATGTTAGCCAGGCTGGTCTCGAACTCCTGACCTCAGGTGATCCACCCGCTTTTGCTTCCCATAGTACTGGGTGAGCCATCATGCCTGGCCTAATGAAAATTCTTAACCAGACCATGGAAGCCAGGATTTGGCAGCTGGTCTCAGAGCTTGCCCTTTGTGAACAAAGTGAGCAGAGGAGGGTTCTGTGAGGAAGGGCAGACACTCCAGCAAAAATGAGGTACTCACATGACTTGTCTGGGCTGCGGCTTATTTAGGGGAGCTGCTCAGGCAGCTGGTGTCTTTGTGTGGAGCTCTCTCCTCCCGAAGCCAGCCCTAGAGCCCTTCCTCCACCTGGTGCCAAGCAGCCATCTTCATCCCCTCAACACCTGTCTGGGAGGCCTGGAGTGGAGGACGCCTGTGCATAGAAAAACAATCTCCCAGTGGGGATGTCTCACACTAGGACAATGGGTACCCCAGTGGTGGTCTCAGGGGTTCCCAGAAGGCCACCTTCTCCCCAGATGCTTTTCTTTTCCTGTGATCCTGGGAGCTGAAGTCCTGGCTACCGTCCCAAACTTATGACTTTATCTGTAAGTTTCTGTCTTGATTCCCATCAAAACACAGATGTCTCAGGGAAGACTAGTTCCCCAGGCTGCCATTGACCTCTGACCTCAGATCTCACTGCGGGTGGAGGAGAAGGGGACAGAGGGGGAGGCTGCGTGGCTGTTGCTCAGAATGGAGAGGGCCGGCCCCCACGGGAGCTCAGCAGGCCGTTTCTCTTCAACGGTGCTCTCCCCGAGCCTGCAATCTGGGACTGGGACACACACTGAACAGACGGATGGATCCATGCCTCAAGAACAGACTAATCAATAAGGAAGGAAGATTCTGTCGCAAGGCAAGAAGTTTCTAAAAGGGACCTTAACTGAGAAAAATTAAGAGTGCTTCCTGGCCGGGCCTGCTGGCTCACACCTGTAATCCCAGCACTTTGGGAGGCCGAGATGGGTGGATCACCTGAGGTCAGGAGTTCGAGACCAGCATGGCCAACATGGTGACACCCCATCTCTAAAAAAAAAAAAAAAAAAGTGCTTCCTGAGGTGAAGGAGGGCTGGGAGGAGACTCGTGCGCCATAGGTCTCCTAGCTTTGCCCTTCTCCTCTGTGGTTGGCTTAGTTTATGGATGTGTCCTGAAGGTCAGAATTTAAATTCTGGCTCCAACCTAAGGACTCCTTGGGGACTAAGAAATGTATAAGGGAGCAGGAGAATAACTTAAGGCCAAGGAGAAGACCAGCCCAGGGAAGGAGCTCTAAAGACTGCCTTCCTCTTACTGAAAGGCAGATGGGCTGTGATTGGGTCCCTGATGCCTAGGAAGCTAAGAGTGGAGCAGGGGCTGCGTGCAGTGGCTTACCCAGCACTTTGGGAGGCCAAGGTGGGCGGATCACCTCAGGTTGAAAGTTCGAGACCAGCATGAACAACATGGATAAGCTCCGTCTCTACTAAAAATACAAAATTAGCCAGGCATGGTGGCGCATGCCTGTAATCCCTGCAACTTGGGAGGCTGAGGTAGGAGAATTGCTTGAACCCAGGAGGCGGAGGTTGCAGTGAGCTGAGATCACACCATTGCACTTCAGCTTGAGCAACAAGAGTGAAACTCTGTCTAAAAAAAAAAAAACCAAAAAACAAAAAAAACAGAGTGGGGCAGGGAAAGGGGAGACTGAAAGTGACTGCTGGATGAGAGGATGCTGGGAAGTCCAAGGGTGTTAAGAGGAGCAGCAGGCTGGGCGCGGTGGCTCAAGCCTGTAATCCCAGCACTTTGGGAGGCCGAAGCGGGTGGATCACCTGAGATCAGGAGGTTGAGACTAGCCTGACCACCACGGTGAAACCCTGTCTCTACTAAAAATACAAAAATTAGCTGGGTTTAGTGATGTACATTTGTAATCCCAGCTACTTAGGAGGCTGATGCAGGAGAATCACTTGAACCCAGGAGGCAGAGGTTGCAGGGAGCCAAGATCGCTTCGTTGCACTCCAGCCTGGGCGACAGAGCAGGACTCCATCTCAAAAAAAAAAAAAAAAAAAAAAAAAAAAAGGAGCAGCAGAATGTGGCTGGTACCTCTTTGCCTCTCCACTGGCATCACAAACCAAGGGGACCATTCACTTCCCACAGACCTCACACAACTTCTAGCCCTGAGAAGCAGCTCAGTAAATGGCAGCTGCAGTCATAAGTGGTGTTTGTTTTCTGGAAGCCCCAGGTGAGTGTCCACAGCTCCCGGGGACCCTAGAGGGGCTCTCTGGCTGCTCCTGCTGCTTGCCCTGATGTCTCCTAACACTGTCCTGGAGAAGAGGGGTGCCTGGTGCCTTCTAGCCTCCTATGATGTGTTCAGTTCTGAAAACTGGGGTCACTCCATCCCAGAAGGCACTAGCTGCTCTCTGGCCACATTCTTACAGAAGGGATGGTACAACACTGGCTTGATATTCATCTATCAACCTATTTAATTTCAATTCAAAAATGACTTCTGATCTGGCAGATGATGTGGGGTTCTAGAAAAAAATTGGGCCAGGCATGGTGGCTCACGCCTGTAATCCCAAGCACTTTGGGAAGCCAAGGTGGACAGAGCACTTGAGCTTAGGAGTTCAAGATCAGCCTGAGCAACATGGTGAAACCTTGTCTCTACAAAACATACAAAACTAGCCAGGTGTGGTGGTGTGTGCGTGTAGTCCCAGCCACTTGGGAGACTGAGGTGGGAGAATCTCTTGAACCCAGGAGGCGAAAGTTGCAGTGAACCAAGATCCCACACTAGTACTCCAGCCTGGGTGACAGAGTATGACCCTGTTTCAAAAAAAAGAAAGAAAAATTGCAGGTGTCTGCCCTATCCCAGGAAGGTGGCCAAGTCAGCCCTGCTATAATAGAGGGAATTCCATTTCCATCTCCATCAGACAGTTCCTGACCATTTGGCAAGACGGTACTTCTGGTATTTCTGCTAAAAGGCTTCGCTCCCCGGAGTGAAGACCTGAGCTGTGAATATCAGGAGCAAAATGATAGCAGCATTCTGGTTTCTCATTGCGGGCTTTTGTTCAATTCTTCCTGCCTGAGCTGTTTCAAACTATTCCAGAATGTTCCAAACAGCCTCTTCTCTCTCTTGCTGTTTCTCCTCCCTCCTCTCCTTCACTACCCTCTTCTTTGAGCATGAAATAAAATTCAGTAGAAAGCAGCGGAAGCATTGGGGAGGCAGAAATTGAAAGGGGAGAAGAATACACTTCGTTCAGAAGTCCTGGTTTCTCCAGGAGTCAAGAGTCGACAAAAACAATGGTGTTGCTTTTCCTGAGGGTCAGCAGCTACGACCTGTGGTCTGAGTCAAGGCAGAAGTGCGGCCCATCCAGACGACGAGGATTAGGGGTGAGCAGCAAATTCACGCTGGGTTCTGAAGTGCCACTGGGGCAATACGAGGGTATCCTGGCTGCCTTTGGTTTCAGAGACTGCCTCTTTGGTGGGTGTGGCTGGCTTTGCAAACATCTTAGCAAGTGCAGTGGGTCTTTTCACTTGGACCCTGGGCCATAAGAACTGGGCTGGAGTCCAGAGGGAGGCCATTCAGGGCACTTTCCCCATAGAGGTGCAGGCTGTTGCGGGCGATCAGCTCCTTGGCCATGAGCACAAAGACTTCGTCTATGTTCTTGGACTCCTTGGCAGATGTCTCCAAAACAGCCAGGAGGCCGTACTTCTCAGCCAGCGTGCAGGCATCCTCGAACAGGACGTGCCGCTTTTCCCAGAGGTCACATTTATTTCCTGGAAGGAAAAGATAAGCAGATATTTCATTGCATAACTTAATCTGGTTTCTTTCAAAATGAACCTTTTTTTTTTTTTTTGAGATGGAATTTTGCTCTTGTTGCCCAGGCTGGAGTGCAGTGGTGCAATCTTGGCTCACCCCAACCTCCACCTCCTGGGTTCAAGCGATTCTCCTGCCTCAGCCACTCAAGTAGCGGGGATTACAGGCATGTGCCACCATGCCCGGCTAATTTTTTGTATTTTTAGTAGAGATGGGGTTTCACCATGTTGGCCAGGATGGTCTCGATCTCTTGACCTCATGATCCACCCGCCTTGGCCTCCCAAAGTGCTGGGATTACAGGTGTGAGCCACCGCGCCCGGCCCAAAATGAACTTTACAAATAACATTTTATTTCCTTGATAGGCATGCCTGCATTCATTTGCAAATGGTAATTGAGGACAGTTTTTTTTCCCCCTTTTTTTTTTTTTTTGAGGCGGAGTTTTGTTCTTGTTGTTCAGTCTGGAGTGCAGTGGTGGGATCTTGGCTCACCGCGACCTCTGCCTCCCGGGTTCAAGTGATTCTCCTGCCTCAGCCTCCCAAGTATCTGGAATTACAGGCACCTGCCCCCACACCTGGCTAGTTTTGTACTTTTAGTAGAGATGGGGTTTTGCCATGTTGACCAGGCTGGTCTAGAACTCCTGACCTCAGGTGATCTGCCTGTCCTGGCCTCCCAAAGTCCTGGGATTACAGGTATGAACCACCGTGCCCAGTGGTTAAGGGCACATTTGCTGAAATGAAACCACTGATGAATGGGGACAGGGAAACCCCTACATTCTTCGGAGGGACTGTTATTCGTCTCCCACAAGTATGACAAGGTACAGCCTGTGCCAGAGTGTTGTACTAAGACTTCCCTCTCCTTCCTTCAAATTTTGCTTCTCATTTTTTTTTTTTTTTTGAGACAGAATTTCACTCTTATAGCCCAGGCTGGAGTGCAGTGATGCGATCTCAGATCACTGCAACTTCCGCCTCCCAGGTTCAAGGGATTCTCCTGCTTCAGCCTCCTGAGTAGCTGGGATTACAGGCAGCTGGCACTACGCTCAGCTAATTTTTTATTTTTAGTAGAGATAAGGTTTTGCCATGTCAGCCAGGCTGGTCTCGAACTGTTTTTTTTTTTTTTTTTTTTTTTTTTTGAGACGGAGTTTCGCTCTTGTTACCCAGGCTGGAGTGCAATGGCGCGATCTCGGCTCACCGCAACCTCCGTCTCCTGGGTTCAGGCAATTCTCCTGCCTCAGCCTCCTGAGTCACTGGGATTACAGGCACACGCCACCATGCCCAGCTAATTTTTTGTATTTTTAGTAGAGACGGGGTTTCACCATGTTGACCAGGATGGTCTCGATCTCTTGACCTCGTGATCCACCCGCCTCGGCCTCCCAAAGTGCTGGGATTACAGGCTTGAGCCACCGCGCCCGGCCATCATGAAATTATTAAATGTCCCAGGTACTTATTTGTGTGTATGTTTATAATTATACACAATTTGATCACATACGTAGATTCCTATAATCACTATCATAGTCTAAGCACTGAACATCTCCATACCAACAAAGCTCTCTTTCATGCTATTCCTTCTGACTCTCACCACCCCGGTCCTCAGCCCCTGCTAACCAGCAATCTATTCTAGTTCCAGAATATTATATAAATGGATTCATATATGTAATCTTTTGAGATTGGCTTTTTTCACTCAGCATAATTCCTTTGAGATCCATCCAAGTTGTTGTGTAAATTGGTAGTTTGTTTTCTGCATATCACTGGTAGCCTTTATTGCTGAGTAGTATTCCATAGCAGGCATGGACCAACGGGAGGCTGAGGCAGGAGAATCGCTTGAACCTGGGAGGTGGAGGTTGCAGTGAGCCGAGATCACGCCACTGCACTCCAGCCTGGGTGACGGAGTGAGACTCTGTCTCAAAAAAAAAAAAAGAAAACAAACCAAGCTCACTTGTTCACTCTGCAGTAGAGATTGTCAAAAATTAAAATAAGGGGCCAGGCACAGTGGTTCATGCCTGTAATCCCAGCACTTTGGGAGGACCAGGCAGGAAGATCACTTGAGCACAGAAGTTCAAGTCAAGGCTGAGCAACATGGCAAAACCCCATCTTTACAAAAAATTCAAAAAAATGAGCTGGGTGTGGTGGCATCCAGCCTAAAGGCGCTTTCTGAGGCTCCATCCATAACTTGCACTTTTAGGATTTCATTTTCCACTGCCCTTAGAAACACGCAGAGAGCTGAGCATCCTCAGAGGAGAGTAAACAAAAGTTTAAAACTTCAAAAATGCCATACCGATCAGCATAATGACCAAATTTGCAGCTCCATATTTCTCTATCTCATGAATCCAGTGAGGGATGGACTCAAACGTGGACCAGCGAGTGAGGTCATAGGCGATGATGGCCGCATGGGCACTGCGGTAATAGCTTTGGGTGATGGTGCGGAAGCGCTCCTGGCCAGCTGTGTCCCACACCTGCAACTGGAGAAGGGCAGGAATGAAAGTCCAAATCAGGGGACCCCACAGGTAATAGGAATTCCTTCACCTACATTATCTTAAAAACACAGTTTCCTGGCTCTCACTTCTAAATACTTAGACCCAGTAGATCTGCGGTGGGACCCAGAAACCTATTCTTTTTTTTTTTTTTTAGAGACAGGGTTTCACCATATTGGTCAGGCTGGTCTTGAACTCCGAACCTCAGGTGATCTGCCTGCCTCAGCCTCCCAAAGTGCTGGGATTATAGGCATGAGCCACTGTGCCCAGCCCTCTTTTTTTTTTTTTTTTTTTTATTATTATTTTTTTAAATTAATTAATTTTTTTTTTCTGAGTCGGAGTTTCGCTCTTGTTACCCAGGCTGGAGTGCAATGGCGCGATCTCGGCTCACCGCAACCTCCGCCTCCTGGGTTCAGGCAATTCTCCTGCCTCAGCCTCCTGAGTAGCTGGGATTACAGGCACGCACCACCATGCCCAGCTAATTTTTTTTGTACTTTAGTAGAGACGGGGTTTCACCATGTTGACCAGGATGGTCTCGATCTCTTGACCTCGTGATTCACCCGCCTCGGCCTCCCAAAGTGCTGGGATTACAGGCTTGAGCCACCGCGCCCGGCCCCTCTTTTTTTTTTTGAGTTGGAGTTTTGCTCTTGTTGCTCTGGTTAGAGTGCAATGGCGAGATCTCAGTTCACCACAACCTCTGCCTCCTGGATTCAAGTGATTCTCCTGCCTCACCCTATTGAGTAGCTGGGATTACAGGCATGAGCCACCATGCTCAGCTAATTTTGTATTTTTTAGTAGAGGTGGGGTTTCTCCATGTTGGTCAGGCTGGTATTGAACTCCTGACCTCAGGTGATTCGCGTGCCTCGGCCTCCCAAAGTGCTGGAATTACAGACATGAACCACCACGCCCGGCCAAATCTATTCTTTCAGTTGCTCCCTGGATGACTTGGCTATCCTCCTTGGTTTGGAAATGACCATCTAAGACAAACTTGTACAACCCGCAGCTTGTGTGACACATTTGGCACATGACAGCCTTGAATGTGGCCCAACACAAATTCCTAAACTTTCTTAAAATATTATGAGATTTTTTTCACAATTTTTTTTTTTTTTTTTTTTAGCTCATCAGCTGTCATTAGTGTTAGCATAATTTATGTGCGGCCCAAGACAATTCTTCTTCCAACGTGGCCCAGGGAAACCAGAAGCTTGGACAGCCCTGACCTAAGGCATGCTGCTCTCAGAGAGGTGGACCAATTTTATCCTGGGGTCTCTTATTCTTTGCTTTTTCACCTCATTCATCCTTTGGTCCAGATTTGGGGGCTCATCTTTTGAGTCCGCCCATGGATCTGAATACTGGCAAAGATGATAATATTGGCTAAACTGTTTAGACAGAGTCTCACCCTGTCGCCCAGGCTGGAGTGCATTGATGAGATCTCAGCTCACTGCAACCTCTGCCTCCCCATTTCAATTCTCCTGCCTCAGCCTCCCAAGTAGCTGGGATTACAGGCATGCGTCCCCATGCCCAGCTAATTTTTTTTTTTTTTTTTTTTTTTTTTTCCGAGACGGAGTTTCGCTCTTGTTACCCAGGCTGGAGTGCAATGGCGCGATCTCGGCTCACCGCAACCTCCGCCTCCTGGGTTCAGGCAATTCTCCTGCCTCAGCCTCCTGAGTAGATGGGATTACAGGCACGCACCACCATGCCCAGCTAATTTTTTGTAGTTTCAGTAGAGACGGGGTTTCACCATGTTGACCAGGATGGTCTCGATCTCTTGACCTCGTGATCCACCCGCCTCGGCCTCCCAAAGTGCTGGGATTACAGGCTTGAGCCACCGCGCCCGGCTGCCCAGCTAATTTTTTATATCTTTAGTAGAGAGGGGGTTTCACCATGTTGGCCAGGCTGGTCTCGAACTCCTGACCTCATGTGATTCACCGGCCTCGGCCTTCCAAAGTTCTGGGATTACCCACTGCCCTGGCCTAAGCTGTTTTGATTTTAAAGGAACACTCGAGCTGCTCATGTTTGGAATGTCCCCACAATACCTCCCAAATTGCCACCCAAGCAGCAGCACCAATTCACACAGCTCCTCACAGTGCCTGAAGGTAACTGTTTCTTCATATTCTCATACTATTTATATAACATTTATTTTTTAGAGAAATTTGCAAACATACACCAAAACTAGAGATAACAGAAAATTGAGGCTGGCTGCAGTGGCCCAATGATCCCAGCACTTTGGAAAGCTGAGGTGGCAGATTGCTTAAGCTCAGAGGTTTGAGACCAGTTTGGGCAACATGGTGAAACTCCATCTCTATAAAAAATACAAAAATTAGCTGGGCATGGTGGTGCATGCCTGTAGTCCCAGCTACTTCGGAGGCTGAGGCAGGAGGATCCCTTGAGCCCAAGAGGTCGAGGCTGTAGTGAGCTGAAATTGTGCACCACTGCCCTCCACCTTGGCAACAAAGTGAGACCCTGTCTCAAAAAAATTAAAGAAGAACCCCCATACATCCATCACCCAGATTCAATAATTAATGAGATTTTGCTACCTGCTTCATGTAGCCCTGTCTGTTAATTTCTTTGAGGTATTTTAAAATTTTTTATTTATTATTTTATCTTTTTGAGACAGAGCCTTGCTCTGCCTCCCAGGCTGAAGTGCAGTGGCATGATCTCAGCTCACTGCAACCTCTGCCTCCCAGATTCAAGTGATTCTCATGCCTCAAGCCTCCCAAGCCGCGGTTATTACAGGTACACGCCCCCACATCCGGCTAAGTTTTTGTATTTTTTTTTTTTTTTTGGGACGGAGTTTTGCTCTTGTTACCCAGGCTGGAGTGCAATGGCGCGATCTCGGCTCACCGCAACCTCCGCCTCCTGGGTTCAGGCAATTCTCCTGCCTCAGCCTCCTGAGGAGCTGGGATTACAGGCATGTGCCACCATGCCCAGCTAATTTTTTGTATTTTTAGTAGAGACGGGGTTTCACCATGTTGACCAGGATGGTCTCGATCTCTTGACCTTGTGATCCACCCGCCTCAGCCTCCCAAAGTGCTGGGATTACAGGCTTGAGCCACCGCGCCCGGCCAAGTTTTTGTATTTTTAGTAGAGATGGGGTTTCACCACATTAGCCAGGCTGGTCTCAAACTCCTGGCCTCAAGTGATCCACCTGCCTCGGCCTCCCAAAGTGTTGGGATTACAGGTGTGAGCCATCATGCCTGGCCTAATTGTTTATTTTAAATAGAGAGAGTTTCACTATGTTGGCTAGGTTGATCTCGAACTTCTGGCCTCAAGCAATCTTCCTACCTTGGCCCTCAAAGTGCTAGGATAACAGATGTGAGCCACCATGCCCAGCCCCTTTCAGGTATGATTTCAAAGCAAATCCAAGACTTCACATTATTTCACCTATTCTTGTGTCAGTATATATTCCTATAGAAATGGACATTTTCTGCCATATGCACAATGCCATTATCACTGTTAATAAACTTTTCAACAACTCCTTGGTATCATCTAATAACCAGATCCTATTAAAAATTTCCTGACTATGCCCCAAATATTTTTTTACAGTTGTTCTTATTTCATCAAGATCCCAAATAAGATCCATTTATTATATTTCACCAATATTTTTTTATCTTTTTTTTTTTTTTTGGATACAGAGTCTCGCTCTGTAGCCCAGGCTGGAGTGCAGTGGCGTGATCTCAGCTCATTGCAACCTCCGCCTCCCAGGTCCTGGTTCAAGCAATGCTCCTGCCTCAGCCTCCTGAGTAGCTGGGATTACAGGCATGTGCCACCATGCCCAGCTAATTCTTGTATTTTTAGTAGAAACAGGGTTTCACCATGTTGGCCGGGCTGGTCTCAAACTCCTGACCTCAAATGATCCACCTGCCTCAGCCTCCCAAAGTGCTGGGATTACAGATGTAAGCCACCTCACCTGGCCACTAGAAAATTTGATCTTTTAAGGCCAGGCGTGGTGCCATACACCTGTAATCCCAGCACTTTGGGAGGGTGAGGTGGAAGGATTGTTTGTGCCCAGGAGTTTGAGACTGGCCTGAGCAACACAGGGAAACCCTGTCTCTCCAAAAAATTTTAAAAATGAGTGGGGCATGGTGAGATGCACCTGTGATCCCAGCTATTCAGGGCTGAGGTGCCTCTAGGATCACTTGAGCCGAGGAGACAGAGGTTAGAGTGAGCTATGATCGTGCCACTGCACTCCAGTCTGGGTGACAGAGCAAGACCCTGTCTCAGGCCAGGCACGGTGGCTCACACCTGTAATCCCAGCACTTTGGGCAGTAGAGGCGGGTGGATCACTTGAGCTGAGGAGTTCAAGACAAGTCTCGCCAACATAGCGAAACCACCTATCTACTAAAAATACAAAAATTAGTCCTCCCTCCTCCTACTCCCTCTCCCTCCTCTTCTTCACCTTCCTCTACTCCCTCCCTTCCCCTTCTCTTAAAAAAAAATTAGCCAGGCATGGTGGTGCGCACCTGTAAATCTAGCTACTTGTAATGCTGAGGCATGAGAATTGCTTGAGCCCAGGAGGCAGAAATTACAGTGAGCTGAAACTGTGCTATTGCAGTCCAGCCTGGGTGATGGAGTGAGACTCTGTCTCGATAAAAACAAAAACAGGCTGGGTGCTGGAGCTCCTACCTGTAATCCCAGCACTTTGGGAGGCCAAGGTGGGCGGATCATGAGGTCAGGAGAACGAGACCATCCTGGCTAAGACAGTGAAACCCCGTCTCTGCTAAAAATACAAAAAATTAGCCAGGCATGGTGGTGTGTGCCTGTAGTCCCAGCTACTCAGGAGCATGGTGGTATGTGCCTGTAATCCCAGCTACTCAGGAGGCTGAGGCAGGAGAATTGCTTGAACCTAGGAGGCAGAGGCTGCAGTGAGCCGAGATTGCGCCACTGCACTCCAGCCTGGGTTACAGAGCGAGACTCTGTCTCAGCAACAACGACAACAACAAACCAAAACAAAAACAGAAACAAAAACCCTGTCTTCCTCCCCCCCAAAAAAGCAAACTTGACCTTTATGTAGTTATATAGAAATGTATAAATTTGACCTTTATAGTTAAATTCAGCAGTATTTTCCTTTATGGCTTCTGGGTTCATGTCTCATTTAATACGCCTATGTTTTTCCAAATCCTTATTTCTATGATTTCATGTTTTGTACTGAAATCTTTTTTTTTGTTTGTTTTGGGATGGAGTTTCCCCCTGTTGTGCAGGCTGGAGTGCAGTGGTGTAATATCTGCTCACTGCAAACTCCGCCTCCCGGGTTCAAGTGATTCTTCCTCCTCAGCCTCCTGAGTCGCTGGGACTATAGGTGCACATCACCACGCCCAGCTAATTTTTGTATATTAGTAGAGATGGGGTTTCACTGTGTTGCCCAGGCTGTTCTTGAACCCCTGAGCTCAGGCAATTCACCCGCCTTGGCCTCCCAAAGTGCTAGGATTACAGGCGTGAGTCCCCATACCCAACCTGTACTGAAATCTTTTATTTCTCAGACATGTGCTTTGTGTTGGGAATTCTGGCTGAAAAAGGTAGAACCAGTCCCGCCCCAGTGCCTTCTGACCTTCACTTTCTTGCCATCGATATCAAGAGAGCGCACGGTAAAGTCCACTCCAATCGTGTTCTGCTGTGTCTCAGTGTAGACTCCAGACTTGAAATGCTGCACCACACACGTCTTCCCCACATTGGAATCCCCAATGAGGATAATCTTGAACAAATAGTCAAAGTTCTCATCTGCTGCCTGGGCTGAGTTGGAGAACTGCATGGCTCTTGCCACCTAGAACAGAGCTAGGAAGAAAGGATGAAATTCAGCACCAGGAACTGGGGATCCAGTAGACAACAAGACAGGGGGAGGTCATTACCTTCACAGCGCTACATCCTTGTGAGAGGACGATGCTAATGATGCTAGCTAGTCAGGCACAGAGGAGTGCCTGCATAAGCTGACATCTGCCCTACATGTGTTGATCTTACTTTAGGGGTTCCCTTAGAATAAAGAGGTTCTATTGCCATTCTCTGGTGGGTCTAGTGGATGGTCAACACTATCAGATAAAAGCACTGATGTGGCTGGGTGCGGTGGCTCACGCCTGTAATCCCAACACTTTGGGAGGCTGAGGCAATTGAATCACAAGGTCAGGAGATTGAGACCATCCTGGCCAACAAGGTGAAATCCCGTCTCTACTAAAATACAAAAAGTTATCCGGGCATCATGGCGTGCACCTGTAGTCCCAGCTACTCGGGAGGCTGAGGCAGGAGAATTGCTTGAACCGGGAGGTGGAGGTTGCAGTGAGCCGAGATTGAACGACTGTACGCCAGTCTGGCGACAGAGCAAGACTCAATCTCAAAAAAAAAAAAAGGTACTGATGTATCCTAGACCTGGAGATGAGGTACCACATGCTCTATCAGAGTGCCCACAGAGCAGAAGGATGGCAGAGAAAATTCCCGTAGCAGTGACTCACCTGCCATTGGAGGTCCTACCAGTGTCAATTTCACCTGGAAAGAAAGACTCCCAACTGCTGTAAGACTGACTGTCCAGGCCGAGCACAGTGGCTCACACCTGTAATCCCAGCACTTTGGGAGGCTGAGGTGGGTGGATCACCTGAGATAAGGAGTTTAAGACCAGCCTGACCAACATGGAGAAATTCTGTCTCTACTAAAAACACAAAATTAGCCAGGTGTGGTGGCGCATGCCTGTAATCCCAGCTACACGGGAGGCTGAGACAGGAAAGTCACTTGAACCTGGGAGGAGGAGGTTGCGGTAAGCCAAGATTGCATCACTACATTCCAGCCTGGGCAACAAGACTGAAACTTTGTCTCATAAAAAAACAACAAAAAAACAAAAAAAGGTTTCTAAGGACAGTGTTTCACAAGCTAATTGATTATCAGAATTATCTGGGAGTCTAATTGAAAAAAATATATATACTTTTTTTTTTTAGATGGAGTCTCGCTTCGCCCTATCTCTAGGCTGGAGTGCAGTGGCACGATCTTGGCTTACTGCAACCTCCATCTCCTGGGTTCTAGTGATTCTCCTACTTCAGCCTCCTGAGTAGCTGGGACTATAGGCGTGCACCACCACATCTGGCTAGTTTTTGGATTTTTTAGTAGAGACGGGGTTTCACCACATTGGCCCGGCTTGTCTTGAACTCCTGACCACAGCCTCCCAAAGTACTCGGATTACAGGCATGAACCATGGTGCCCAGCCTTAATTTTGTATTTTTAGTAGAGATGGGATTTCACCATGTTGGCCAGGATGGTCTTTTTTTTTTTTTTTTTTGAGACGGAGTTTCGCTCTTGTTACCCAGGCTGGAGTGCAATGGCGCAATCTCGGCTCACCGCAACCTCCGCCTCCTGGGTTCAGGCAATTCTCCTGCCTCAGCTTCCTGAGTAGCTGGGATTACAGGCACGCGCCACCATGCCCAGCTAATTTTTTGCATTTTTAGTAGAGATGGGGTTTCACCGTGCTGACCAGGATGGTCTCGATCTCTTGACCTCGTGATCCACCCGCCTCGGCCTCCCAAAGTGCTGGGATTACAGGCTTGAGCCACCGCGCCCGGCCTGGCCAGGATGGTCTTAATCTGTTGACCTTGTGATCTACCCGCCTAGGCCTCCCAAAGTGCTGGGATTACAGGCATGAGCCACCACGCATGGCCTCTTTATTTTGAGGCCCAGGCTGGAGTGTAATGGTGCAGTTTCAGCTCACTGCAACCTCCACCTCTGGGGTTCAAGTAATTCTCTTGCCTCAATCTCCCAAGTAGCTGGGATTACAGGCACCTGCCACCATGCCCGACTAATTTTTGTAGTTTTAGTAGAGACGGGGTTTCACCATGTTGGCCAGGCAGGTTTCCTTACCTCAGGTGATCTGCCCACCTCGGCCTCCCAAAGTGCTGGGATTGCAGGCATGAGCCATTCACTTCGCCCGGCCAGAAAATGAAGGTTTCTAATGACAGTGTTTCACAAACCAACTGATTATCAGAATTATCTGGGAAATCATTGAAAAATATATATTTTTGGAGCTCATCCCAGACTTACTAAACATATTTCATCTTGTTCTTTCAAAAATTATTTCTTAGTATTTTTTTTCTTTTCTTTTTTGAGACACAGTCTTGCTCTGTCACCCAGGCTGGAGTACAGCAGCGAAAACTTGGCTCACTGCAAACTCTACTTCCTGTGTTCAAGGGCGTCTCCTCCCTTAGCCTCCCGAGTAGCTGGGATTACAGGTGCATGCCACCATGTCTGGCTAATTTTTGTTTTGTTTTGTTTTTTGAGATGGAGTCTTGCTCTGTTGCCGAGGCTGGAATGCAATGGTGCGATCTCGGCTCACTGCAACCTCTGCCTCCTGGGTTCAAGCAATTCGTTGCCTCAGCCTCCCAAGTAGCTGGGATTACAGGCACTTGCCACCACATCCAGCTAATTTTTATATTTTTAGTAGAGACAGGGTTTCACCATGTTGGCCAGGCTGATCTTGAACTCCTGACCTCAAGTGATCCGCCTGCCTCGGCCTCCCAAATTGCTGGGATTACAGGTGTGAGCCACTGCACCTGGCCTATTTCTTATTATTTTAATAGAGACAGGAAGGTTCTCATTATGTTGCCCAGGCCACTTTCAAACTCCTGGCATCAAGTGATCCTTCTGCCTCAGCCTCCCAAACTGCTGGGATTATAGGCATGAGCGACTGTGTCTGGTGCACTAAACATATTTTAAAGTTAAAAACACAAAACCAAAACCTCTCTCTCTTTCCTCTCTCTCACTATCTCTTCCCCAGGTGATTCTGATGATGAGCCAGATTTGGAAAACACCAATTGACCAAGTCACCTACCTGAAACCTTACTCCCACCATCAGCATCCCTGGCTTAAATATCCACCTATGCTTAAATATCTTTGATCACAAGGAACTGACTATGTTCTGAAAAATTTCCATTTTGCACTGGGCAGCTCTCACTTCTGTGGGATTGACACCTCCCTCCATGAGGTTTCCATCTGTCTAGCTCAGTGCTGTCCTGACTCTGCCAAAACACATCACATTCCTGTTCCTCATGGCAGTCCATCAGATACTTGAAGCAGCAAAAATATCCCCGGAAGAGAATATCCCCCGCCTGGTTTTTTTTTGGGGGAGGGACGGAGTCTCGCTCTGCCAGGCTGGATTACAGTGGCATAATCTTGGCTCACTGCAATCTCCACCTACCGGGTTAAAGCAATTCCCCCTGCCTCAGCCTCCTGAGTAGCTGGGACTACAGGCATGTGCTACCACGCCCAGCTAATTTCTTTATTTCAGTAGAGATGGGGTTTCATCATGTTGGCCAGGATGGTCTTGATCTCCTCACCTCATGATCTGCCCTCCTCAGCCTCCCAAAGTGCTGGGGTTACAGGCATGAGCCACCACACCTGGCATCCCCAGCCTCTTTTGTTTTTTTAATTAAAAAAAAAATTTTATTTTCTGCCCCAGCCTCTTTAACTGTTTTTCGAGAGAATGTGATCGTCTCCTCATCCAATAGCTCTAAAAGTAACTGAAAGCTGATCCCATTTAATGATTACATTTAATGTGCTGCAAATTGCCCCAGCCTTGTGACATCCTTCTCCACTTCCCCGTTTTACTCTGGTTTCCTCTAAAGTCTTAGAAAAGGGCAGTCTGTCTCATCACACAAGGTAAAACACATTCAAATGTCCAATCTGCATGCAAAAACCCAGGGTCTTAAGACGACAAAGAAGGATCCCATACCTTTCTTGGACCTCTCTGAAATCACATAGGGGTAGATAGATAATCCAGCAGACAACAGACACAATCAAACCATTTTTTTCCTCTCTGACTTTTCAACTAAAGACAGCCATTCCACTTCCGGTGTCTTGGTCTTATCACAGTAACTTGAGCTGAGAATTTATTTCCACGTCTCCCCTCGCCCTCTGGAGTCCTCAGGGTTTCCACAAAAGCCCCCTTTAATTTAGCCAAAAGCCGTGCAAGGACACACAGGCAGCATCCACCCCGAGGATGCCCTCCCTCCGAAATCCCGCAGCCTTCTCCTTCCCAGTTCACCTGTCGCTCATCTGTCTCGCTCCCTCACCTCTGCTGGTCAGCAGGTAATGTTTTCTCTTTCTTCTCGTTTTCCTTTTCGGCCTTCAGTGCCCCCTTCTTCCTCCTGCCTCGCTGCTTGGTGGGAAGTGTAGTTCTGGCCCCAGGTGTCGGGTTTGGTGGCCTGAGAAAGTGAAAGGAGAGTGCAATCCCTCCCACCTGCCCTGAGCCCCGGACTGCCGCAGGGTACAAAGTGCCAGGTGAGGGCTGGCCAGCACAGGGCAGGGCACAGGGCCAGCTTTCTCACCACCCTTCGCCTGCCTAGCGGAAAGCCCTCGAGGGAAGGAACAGCCAGTGAACTCGGCCAGCGCTGACCCATGCAACGCTGCCCCTGCTCCCTCCTTCTACTCACTCTCTCTTGTGTGCCCTTGCGTCCTCTGCTCTCAATGTGTCCTGGAGTCCCTTGATAGGAAAAAATTTCAGAGTGTAGCTCATATAATAACAGTGACTATTGTTTTGCAAAATGTTTGGGTCAGTTATACATGTGGATATTGTACTGGATGATATAAAAAAATATTTATTTGTTTATTTATTTTGGGACAGGGTCTTACTCTCTCACCCAGGCTGAAGTGCAGTGGCACCATCATGGCTCACTGCAGCCTTGACCTGGCTTCAAGCAATCCTCCTGCCTCAGCCTCCTGAGTATCTGGGACCACAGCTGGCCTGGGGGTTGTTAGTTGAGAGAACATCTAACATCTAACAAATAAAGGAGAATACAGATGTTAAGTAATTTATTTTATTATATATACATATTTTTTTAGAGACAC